TTGAAATAGAGTTTATTTTTCATGCTACAACACTAATTTTTGGCAAAATAAAATGTTAAACAATGTAAACATAGAAGCTCATGAAGCTAAAAATAATTCTCAATGAATAGATTGGACCAAGTATTAATGTGGGTATAGCACGGAAGGCACAAAGCCAGAGATTGCTCACTATTAAAACACAGACTAGTTTCTAAAGAGATCCTAAAGGGGTTCTTTTTTTAAAATTTTGAATGCATAAGTCTCTGACTTTTTAGTTGATAATGCTCTTCTACCCATAAATAATTCAAAAGATATCAACTTAAAAAATGGAGAGTCATGAATCTGCAGTATGGAGAAGATGAGGTGAACAGCAACCCAATAGTCAGAGCAAGTAATTTCCAGTGCATTTCTTTTCCTAACATCAAAGCTTCATAGCGGCACTGGAAACAGGAACCCAACTTTAGTCTTCACCCTACAGCTTTGCCTGAATAAGAACCTATAATCCCGAGCCATTTAAAAACACTATTGGTCACTGAACATTTGAAAATATGATTTCTTTAGGAACAGTGTGCAGACAAATGGAAAAGCCATTCAGATAAAATATTATAGGTTTATTTAAAACTTATTTTCAGCTTGAATATGCAAAATACGAACTCCAACAAAATGTTCATTTTTACTTCATAGTTTACAAATATACAAAATAGAAGTTTGCTTAAATTTATATTACATATTTATTATGTAAAGAACTATATAGAAAACATTTGTTCTGCTTAAGGCATATTTGGGAATAAACCATTGTACAAATTATTGCACATCGAAACCACAGTGCATTACAGACTGTCTGCATAAAAGTTATTTTCAAAAAAAAAAAAAAAAAGAAAATAAACCAGGTTTATTTACCTGATTTAGGTCATAACTGTAGATCGGAAGACAAAAATAATTCCTTGTCAGATATGCAGCAGTTTGAGAACTTTGGCTTCCTGTTTTTGGTACCTTTAGAACCAACAGTCACTAAGCACCATGAAATAGGCTTTTAAACATAAATTCTGTACCTGAATTTTTTTCCTCCTCTTTTAAACATAGTAATGGCTTTTTAGAAGGAAAAAGAAAATACAAGATGACATTTACATCTAATATTGCATTGAGCCAAAATTTAAGGGAATGTGATCTCCCCATGTAATCGCCCCCCAACCCCTGCCCAAAAGCAGTCTCTTTAACCCTGATAGCCTTGACTTCCAGTCGTTTGTTGGCATTTTGTAGTCCAGAAAAATTCAAGTTGGATTTACAAATGGAATGATAGAAGATCCAGTCATTGACCCCAATGTTCTTCTTTAATTTATTAAAAAAAGAAAAAAAGGGCAGAGAAAGAGATTTGAACTCAGATTGCTGAATTCAAAGTCCAGAGTGCGAACCATTATACCATAGAGGCAGATAAAGAGAGAAAGGAAGAGACAGAGAGAGAGTTCCAACATGTGTAATTTTCAGTTGATTCCCACTCTTTGGAAGACTTCACCATGATTCCTTGTAGTGCTTTAGCTGTGTCACTCCCTCCTGCGGAAGCCAGTCTGTGCTGTGAATACTGAATCTCTTATGGCAGTATAGGAAAAAAAATCCACTGCTTCCAATTAAAAGTGCCTCTTCATATGTAAGGCAAGGTGGTCTGACCTGGAAAATGCTCTGTCGCATCTTTGACACTGGAAAGGGCGATGGCCAGTATGTTTTCTGTAGTGCCGAGTAAGTTCATCAGAGCGGGCAAATTTCCACCCGCAGCCCTCCCAGTCACAGTGATAGGGCTTCTCTCCTTCAAAAAATAAGACAGAACCACATCAGTTAGGTTGGCATGGGTCAGTTGATAGGCAGGTGCATTAGCTTGTTCCAGCAACAACAGGATTCAAGCCTTAATTTCACATCTTGCATTCAGGAACTCTGAATGCTTTGAAATGCAGAACAAAAATTGCTTGTGTTCAATAAGATAAATCAGGCTGTGATATTTTGTAGTTACAAACGGAATCTAAAAACCAGAATAAAAGAAATGCCCATTTTTGCACAACAAAGTTATGAAATGTATTTATACAAAGTTTGTTTTACTGCAACCTTAAATAGAATGCTAATTTCCATCATTTGTCTTGAACGTATGACACTTAAATCCACATAATAGTATTAGGACCTGCATGCATTTCGCTGGCTGATGATGGTATTATACAGTCAAATAGCAACCAGAAATCACTTGGTAGACATCATGGATTTAGGTAACTGTAGGTTTTGAAAATTAAAGAACTGTCTGGAAACTACTTTCATTAGATCAACTTTGTTAAATTAGGAGCTTATTCTCCCTGTCTTTACTAAAGCTAAACTCATGTTGGCTTCAAGAAGTTCTCCTCCCCAGCAATTACCAACTAAGCACAAAAACATTCTGGAAACAGTTACCAGATCTAAGGACACCAAAAGAACTGCTTCTAGCCATTTACTTCTGAAGAAACACTGAACCCAGTTTTGCTCCCACTGATACGAGCTGGAGAATTATTTGTTTTCTAGTTTGTATTCTAAATCGTGAACTACTCTCTCTCTCTTTCTCTCTTCCGCAACCCCTCTTCACCCAGAACACATTCTGAATCAACTTCTGGCAGCTTTATTCAGGGGTCCTGAATTACTCAAAGCTCCAAGTTATCATTTTATTATTAGGGACTGTCAAAACTATGACTATCATTTAACTACAAGTGCTTTCACTAACTCTGACTGCGATAAGGGTTTCTTCAGTGGCAAAGCTAAAGCTCAAATGTAAATATGAATATGTTATTTCATTTCTATTCAAGCAGTAGCCAAATAATTTTAGGCTAGATTTCTTTCAGAACTAATGAAATGGAAGGCAAGACTAACTTTCCAATGTAGGATACAGATTGTCCAGCTGCTATTGAGTCACTCGCATAGTATTTTATAATTCTGTTATCTGTGGGGCTCTGATTTGGCTTCCCTCAAAAATTATCAGCCACTCCCAGCAATTTCAGGCCTTTGGTGAATTGTGAGGGCTTGGGAACTGCTTGTAATAGAATCTCTCAAGTTACAGGAGCAAGCCAAGACAGGAGTTTAAAAAAAAAAAAAAAAAAGCTTAACTAAGACCAAAGCAAGTTAAAAAAAAAAAGAAACCCTTAAGAGGCCTGCAACATCTGCTCCTGTCACAAAATTGGGCCAGTGCTATGCAGCTCCACAAATCCAGTTGACTTTCAGCTACCTGCCAATTAACTAGCCACATAGCAATAGACATGCAAACAAACTTGGTGTCTGCAAAAACACCCTCTCATGTCTGAGTCATTTTGATCCATGAAGTAACCTTCCAATCCAATAGGTAGCCATAAATTGCATGGTTTTTTTTTAACTAGGGCTAGAACAAAAAAAAAAAAAGACACTCTCATCAAGTTTCTCTCCCATGCCTGATGGAGGGCGCTTGCAGCCTGACAGCTTGTCTTTCATCTCTCCCTGCTACACAAAAATGGCCCAATAAAATATGTATTACCTCACCTCACAAACCTGGTTTCTCACACAAGAACCTAGCCCTTTTCTTCCTGGTTGAAAGGTTTAGTCTTTAGCTGCTGTAGCTGAACACCTTGTCCGTCCCATTTCCCCCTGCCAAGCCCAGAGCAGGGTCTGTGTCCATACAAAGTGTGGGTTACCACCTGCCTCTCGGCCCCATGCATATCAAGCCCCGGCCTTTACCTGTGTGGGTCCTCAGGTGCGCCTTGAGATGAGAGCTCTTGGTGTAGGTCTTGCCGCACCCGGCATACTCGCAGGTGTGTGTAGCGGTCCTTTTCCTGGGCCATGACCGGCGCCCCCTCTTTGGCTTGGTTTCTTCAGGCAGGCAGCTCCCGGGTGGCATCAGCTCTAAGGGCGAAGAGGGCGGAGTCAGCATCACCCCTCGCCCCAACTGTGGCACCGTGCCGGGCTCTCCAAAAGCACTGAGATAGTTAGACTGACCTTGGTACTGCAGGGCACCAGGCGGGAGCTGCTCAGGCAGGAAAGGTGGGTAGCCAGGGGCAGGGTGGTATCCAGGAGGCAGCGGGGGGTGGCTTAGCCCTGGAGGGGAGGCATGGCAGTCTCTGCTACCGAGTATCTCTTCAGCAGTAGTCCTGGAGGGCAGGGGCCGCCCCAGGGCGAAGTCGTGGGGGGGCGGCGGCCCGCCGTGGGGCTGGGCAATGGGGCAGGAGGGGGCGGCCTCCTGCTTGATCTTTTGGCACATCCTGGGCAGAGGGCTGTAGGGCGGCCCGGCGGGGCTGTCAGCCGGGGCACCCTTGCTGGCCAGGCTGAGGTGGTTGTAGTCCCCCAGGGCTTTCACCACGAACTTCCCGTGCAGGCTCCCGAGGGCCGGCGGCGGCGGCGGCGGCTGCTGCTGCATGTACACGGGGTCCAGTTCAGGCCGCAGCAGCTCGGCGACGAAGCCCCCCGAGGGCGACACGTCGCTGATGTCGGCCAGGTCGAAGGGCGCGGCCGGCGCGGGCTCGCGGCCGGGCGCGTAGAGCGGGAAGGCGGCGGGGAAGCTGCAGGCGGCGGCGGGG